GTTAATTGCCTTGTTTATTGTCTGGCTTGGGGTAATACAGATGCGAAGTTTGCCGTTTGGTTTTTCGTTAACCAAGATGTTGACAGCCAGTCTGTCAGTTGGGTAACAGGCCTAATAATCCCCTCTTGACAAAGCCTCTTCAGTTCTTCATTTACCCGGTCTAACTTTACCACAGGCCCTCGGCGTGAACGGGTACGTACTGGTGTAACAGAAGGGTCCAAATCAATATGCATAGGTGTCCCGGGGGGTTCCCCGCGCCCCGGTCTAAACACATTAGCATACTGCTGTAAAATGTCCTCTGTCGTCAGCAGTCCTAGTGGGGGAGGTGTTTGCGGAGTTTGCAGAATCTCTTCCTCAACTGTGTTTGTTTCGTCTAAATTAATCTTCAAATACTCCAGAGCCTGCGTATTCTTTCCGTTTCAGAATTGGCGGTTTGTCACCCGGGACGTCCACCACAAGGAAACCTTTTGTCTGTAGTCTACCTTTTCTGTCACAAACTAAGGTAACTTGACCTTTTGGTCGTATTGTTTGGCTTCCATATGTGCTGATTCTGCTTCTAATCTTTGAAACGTTTAGATTATTAAATAACTGGCTTAATAAATTGCTGGGAATCATGTTGCAAGTTGAAGCTGAGTCGATTTGTGCTCTCACAATTTTCGACTTCCCGTCGGGAACACTGTGTAAATAAGCCTATTCAAACCGGGGGGCTTTTGAAGCGCACATACCCCACCTCCCCCCGCTAAAAAGTTTAAGAACGTCAAAAACGTTCAAGCGATGACCACCAAACTTCAAGACTTTTCCAAGAAACACTCCTTTTCCTGGGAACATTCCATAGTCCTCTTGACGTATACTTCAACATTGACGTTACCACGACAACCGACTTTTGGCAGCCATGTTTTCGAAAATGCTATAAAAAAAGATCTATTTTCTTATTTTAACTGATTAAATTTTAGCATTGCTCCGAATTTTGCAATATTTCATTAACTTTATTGTAACAGTTAGTGTAATTCAGGCTTGTTAGCGGTTTGTTTCAGAAAAAAACAAGACTTAAAAATGAAAAATTGTAGATGCTGGGTTCAATTTTTAACAGTGAAAATTTCTGTAGGAATTTCATAACTTGCAGATTTTTTTGCGTTTTAAGCATTCTTTTATACACTGATAAATTTTTCTGCAACGATTACCTCGATTTGTACGAGTACCATCGAAAGTGGAATACATTTCGAAATTCAGAATGGTGGATTCAAGATGGCTGATGGTTCAAGACACTTCTTTAACAATGATTGACACCATCATGACATTATTGCTATTGGTAAAGATTATTAATTCATTTGCCAACTTCTTGATTTTTTCGGACCCCTTACTGTTTAAGTATTTTTCGCTTTGAGGAGAAAAATATAAATTCATTAATATGACGTCAAAATGACGTCAGATTGCGTCATTGTGTCGACCAAGTTATGCTTAGATTTTGAAAATAACAAGTAAATTATTCTGTGCAATTTTGGCGGCCGTATCATGGGCGGTTATAAAGTTATGAAGAAGCAGCTCCAGAAGCCCCCTCCCCCCCCCCGTGCCGTGGCAGGAAGCCAAAAAAACTGAGCTGAGTGTGATTAAAGTATTCTAGATTAAAAATGAATTATTAAGTCATCTACTTTTTGCGGAGAACTACAAGAAAAACATCAGTGTAGATCCTGAAACCGTGCTAAAAAACTGATGAAGCGTGCTAAACTATATTTGTTTTAAAGTGTTAGCGTGTCGTGTGCCTGCTTTCACCTTTAGCATCAAAATCCTGCGGACAGTCACAATTAATAAGAACTCAGTTTTGTCATCATTACTTAGGAGTCTATCATTGATCATCCAGCTTTGAATATTCGCAATACACTTTTCCATAGTCCGTATTGCAGCATCTTGACTTGGTTGGCCTTCTGGTTTGAAATATGACATTAAGATACGAATCATTACTAAAGCAATGAACACATAGAAAGTGTTTTTCTATAGCGTCAATCAACTGAGATGCAAGATGATGAATTATAGAGGCCCAGGTTGAAGCATCCAGAAAGTGGTCTACTGATAGATACCCACTGACTTCTATTAGTCAACTATGGTTTGGACCAGTTTAGGACTGTCCCCTGGAGCCCAACTTTGTTTTGAAGCCGATTGACGAGGATCTCGTGGTTGACATTGTCAATAGTCACACTAAGGTCTAATAATACAAGAAGCATGACATTTTGAATTCATCGAAAGCATGATGCCATTCACAACCTCTAACAAAGCCGTTTCAGTACGGTGATCAGCACGATATGATGACTGTAAACCAGAATAGATGCGGCTCAGAAGCATAAGTTCACGACTTTGATCAAATATAGCCCTTTATCCTCAAATAGAAACATAATGAAGATTAATGATGGGCCTGTAATCCTTATACGACAGGTCGAGCCTGTCCATCAACAAAGTGACCAGACATTAAAGATAGATGCGCAAGTAACACCTCTAGGCAGTTCACAACAGGAGGTGTTGAGAAAGGACAAACCATGCGCGTTTTCTTTGCGAGCTAAGATACAGACCTCGTACTTTGCTATCTGTAAGTTGCAAATATGTTTGCATAGTAGCAACAGACCCACAATAATTTGTAGGGGAAAGTGAGTCCCAGCTGGGCAACTCCTCCGTCATTTGAACCAATTTCAAGTGAATATCACAGATCTTTTTAACAAGTCCCTCATCTCATTAGCCAATTTGAAGGGTCGGAACAAAAATTCATTTTCCTGCTTAAACAATTTTTAAGTAGCATTGAAGATATCTCTTTCCTTTTAACTATCCTCACTAATGGAATTTGCATAGAATTGTTTCCTTGCCTTACTCATGAGATAAGTGGCATAGTTCTTTTTGTCCTTGAAAATAGCGACAACAGACAAATTCCTTGTCCAACGCCATTTGCGTTCTGCCCTCCATCGCTCTTCCCGGGCATCCCTGATATCATCATTATCATCATTTGCAACGTGTAAATGTCAGCGGGTTTATCCTTCTCAAAGCGCAAAATGTGGCCAAAGAACTTGAGCTGACTTGACATGACCGTCTATAGCATAAGGATAGTGTCAGTGAGATCGTAGATTCGAACTTTTGAGACTTTTTCCAGACCTATGGTGTTCAACATGATCCTATAGTATGAGGTGGCAAAAGCATTTAGTTTCGCATTCATGTCTTTGGTCATGTTCCACGTTTCGCAGTCATACAGTAGAACGAAAAGACAAGTATTGCCTGTGAATACCAGATTTTCTGGAGGCTCCAGAATGCAGTTCAAGCAGAAGCCTTCTGGCGCTTGAAGTCGTTGCCACTACCAGCTACCATGGATCGTAGTTAGCGGACCTCACTTTTAGCTTTTGGAGGGACAGTTGCACCTGAGCTCTTTCGATGGAAGATTCTAGAAGGCATATCTCGCCGGCATAGTCAATGTCATTTACGAACTTTGCTTGATGCATGATTGACCTCTTGGATGTGTCAATATGCCGCTACTATGACATTTAATCGTGGCCTAGCACATAGCACAGATTAAGACGACAATGAGGAGAAATGGGGCGAGGACGCCTCCTCTGAGGACACCGGTGGTTACTTCGAAGCTCTCGGACATACGGCCATCAACTAAAACGGGAGGGTTTGGAACTGTTACTCAGGAATCTAATTGCACTAACGATCTTAATAGGATGACATAATGGCGCAGTATGGCAAACATAGACTCTTGGTTGATTAAGTCAAAAGCCTTCCTTCCAAAAATTTGGCCACTAGTAGTAACTGTTTTGCTTGGAGGCCTTCAGTAATTCGTCGGAGAGTGCAAACCTGTTGTGCGCAGCTGCGCCCACTTATGCAACCGGCTTGGTTGCGCCTTAGGGCTGGATGTATGAAGATTTGAATTCCATTTAGTAAGATCTTATTGTAGACCTTAGCGCAGATAGACACAAGGTTAATCCCACGATAGTTGTTCATCAGGGATAGGTCACCCTTCTTTTAGGTGGGGACAATAAGGTTAGTGATCAACTGTTCCCGGAGTATCTTCTTTGTATATACCTCGAAACAGAAGCTGTGAACAACGGAAACATGGCTTCACCCTCCATTTTCAGAACTTCAGGTGTGATGGGGCAGTCTAGTCCAACTGCCTTGTTCAACTTAAGAGACTTTATCGCCTTTTTTATCTAGTCTAATGTAGGTTAGGCTGTGTTGATTGGGAGAACCGACTCATCTGGCGGTAGTCTAGCAGTATCAATAGCGGTGGTGTTGTTCAGAAGAGTGCTAAGGTACTTCTTCCATTCAATGAGAAGTTCTTGGTGACTAATTGGGTCACTCTTGTCCCTCTTTTTGACCCGTTCAGATCCTTCAATCTCTTCCTGGAGGCGGCTGTGTTAAGGAGCAGGTGCTTGCTTTTGGTGTCATTTCGAGCTTTCCGCAAGTCTTGTTTCTTTGGAGACCATGTTTAGAAAGCCATTTGAAACCCACTTGCCAACTACCTCTTCTGCAGTGTTTCTTGTTATACTTTAAAGCTGACTGGACCTGATGGTGATTAGCTCATCATTTGGGGTGGAGGAAAAGCTGTTCGATAGCTTTAGCAGAACGCTGTGGCTATATGGCCGGTAACCGGTCAAGGTTTTCAAAACACTAAATGGCCGGCAGTCCTATATTCTCAGTAAATCTAACAAAATCGAAAGATTCCAGCTAATTTTAACTATCGTATGTCGATTTAGAAAAGTCAAGCGATCCTGAAATGCTTTACAGATCTCAAGTCTACTGTTTGGTTGACACTGGGCTCAGAGGAGGAAACCATGTTTTGTGACACTTTGAACTTTTTTCAGCCTGACTGCTGGTCAAGGTTTTCTAAACACTAAATGGCCGGCAGTCCTATATTCTCTGTAAATTTCACAAAATCAAAAGATTCCAGCTAATCTAAACTATCATATGTCGATTTAGAAAAGTCAAGCGATCCTGAAATGCTTTACAGATGTCAAGTCTAGTGTTTGGTTTACGCTGAACCGTGTTTGTGACACTTTTCAGCTCGACTGCCGGTCAAGGTCTTCAAAACATTAAATGGCCGGCAGTCCTATATTCTCAGTAAATTTCACAAAATCCGAAAATTCCAGCTAATCTAAACTATCAAATGTCGTGATCCTGATCAAACCAGCCAGTTTTGTGAGATTTCTATATCATGTTTTTGTTGGTATGTTCGTTACTGTTTTCTGTCCAAAGCATGGCGTGACAGGCGACGTTTGACGTTATACCATCTTGACCTCTCATACGGCTTTTGCGGAAAAACTCCACGTGTTAGTTGAGTCTGCTGCTTCTGGAGCTGAAATACACTTCAACATTATCTTGTCGACGATTTTGTGAAATTTACTGAGAATATAGGACTGCCTGCCATTTAGTGTTTTGAAAACCTTGACCGGCAGTCGAGCTGATAAAAGTTCTAAGTGTCACAAAACATGGTTTCGTCCTCTGCGCCCAGCGTAAACCAAACACTAGACTTGAGATCTGTAAAGCATTTCAGGATCGCTTGACTTTTCTAAATCGACATATGATAGTTTAGATTAGCTAGAATCTTTCGATTTTGTGAAATTTACTGAGAATATAGGACTGCCGGCCATTTAGTGTTTTGGAAACCTTGACCGGTTACCGGCCGTATAGCCACAGCGTTAACAGAAATGCCGATGTCAGCACAGGATTTGCGAGTCTCTTCCAATTGTATTGTTTGCGACTTACAGGTTTACCTTTTGTAGTTCTAAGACTCACTTTAAAAGTCACAGTTAGGATGCGGTGGTCGAAGTTGAGCTCTACACTATTGTACGTTTTATAATTCCTGACAGAGTTAGTCCCTGGGTTGATCAAGTCAAAGGTTAGTTGCAAAGCAGAAATTAAGACGTCTTTTGCCGTTAATGCTTGTTGTGAGAACCCACAACTCTCGGAGCTTTTTCGTGATTGCCTTGGCCTAGTCAGCGTTTAGAATCTCTAATAACAAGATCAATATCGTGACAGTTGACTTTGTCGGATGTATGGGTGTTGAGCAGGTTGTAGAATTGATAATCATCGTCGGTGTTAACCGACTCTTTTGGAGCTTAGACTATTGTACAGAGATGCTGCGGTCCGAAAGGTGTTTTGAACCGGAGATGCTTTTGACCAATTGTCTTTTAACAAGGAGGCCGCAACCCTTTCGGCATTTGGAAACAAAATTTTGGATGAACAGCCACTTCTTGTCATCAGACCACAGTTCTGTTATCGGATTGAATGAGATAAGGCGATACTTTTCTACGACAGTGATTTCAAGACCTGATTCTACCGCCTGCCTCTACCGCAGCACAACTGATTTAACTTGCCCAGTTGGTAGAAGGACCTGACATTATAGGTTGATATGATAATTGGCTTGCTAAGGGAGATTTGGTCTATACGGTTCCCTTGTCTGAGTTATTATTATTCGGAATGAGTAGCTCCAGACTGTTCCCGCTTTGCCCCCTGTCTGCGGCGATACTTGGATGGTGAGGGTGATTTTGGAGGGTAGGGTACAATTTAAACCTTAGTTTCTGTATGGTGTCATGTCCCTTGCATGTTGGCCGTTGGTAAGTGAACGAGCTCATCCGTCATGTATTAGGTCTTATTTTAAGTCCTGGAGGGTGGCATGCTACCCTCTTTTCACCAGCTAGTAGCAGGATTACCCCTGACCTGACCTCCATCATTCTACCATGGTACAAGAGGTCTTTCTATGAACGTCTTTGTTACCAGTAATGCATGAGGATCTAGTATCTTGATTAATGTTCTGTTGTACAAAGTACCCAAATCTTTAAGACAATCAGTACTGTCTCGACTAAGGGCCGAGCACATTATGCGAGAATGACTCTGCGTCAGTACTCCTGATTTTCCAGAAGGCTATCTCCTTGACAATAAACGATGGTTTCTCAAATCACAGATCAAGGTAAAGTGACCAGAGAAGTGGTAATCTACAGTAGGAGTGGTTGATATTAGCTCATTTACATCCCTTGTAATCTCTAGATCCAGGATATGGCAGGACACCTGGGTCAGTTTATCAAAATGTTGTTGCAAACCAATGGATTCCACCTAACCTAAGAGGCGTGTACGTTTAATATCACTATGAACAACAATATGAATGTTGAAATCACCAGTCATTAGCAATAGTTCAGGTGACATTATATTATTATGAATGATTCCAAGTAGCTAGTGAAATCTTCAGAAAACATGGCTATTGTAACCGGATCTTTAGAAGAATATAGTATCCTATAAATAATCAAGATCATAAGTTTACAAGATCCACAGTCCACAATCCATTCCCAACATTCAAATGACACTTTCTCGCTAGTATCTACTTTTTGGAGTCATGAGAGAGTAATTGATTAATAGTGCTGTTCCACTACTAGTGCGGCTTACGCGAGAATGGTTCATCATTTTAAACCGAGGAGGTGATTCTTTGATCCAATGACCAATATCATGCTGAGAAAACCAGTTCTGAATCACTGCGAAAATATCCGTTTTCATAGTACATGTATAACACAGAAAATCAGGCAACTTGTTCCGGAGAGGTTGTACATTCGCACATCATAGTCTAAGCTGATCCCTCCCCTTGCATATACTAGCTGGCATTTCTAGGGGCTGTTTCGGAACGGCAACCAAGTTCTAAACGTTGGCACCCTTGGGGTGCAGTGAACTGGAAAAAAAACCTGATTCAGTGCTAGTTCTGTCAAATAAATTAACAGCTCTTGTTCTCATACGACCAGTTCTCCTCTTTATATATTTTAAGATTCCACAGTCCTTTAATGTTTTCATGGTACGCATGAACAATTTGAGGTGACATGATACACGTATGTCCAATAAACCTTTACGAGAATTATGCAGATCTCGTCGATCTGCGTAATTCTTTGCTCCATACACAGCCTCACTCAATATTTCGTAAATATCCCTAAAGAGTGAGCCAATTAGGGTGCTTATTTTGGTATTTTTTGTATTGTGACGTAATATAGTTAAATTGAATGAATATATTCGTATTTGTTTAGTTTCATCACTCTCATTGTCTCGGTAACTGTGGCATTTAACATTGCTCTATTTATAAAAGTGGATGTGCGTAGACACAGTTACGCGGACTGTGATACGTACAAGAACTGCAACGAAGAGAGATCTGCAAATACTCCTGGTACGAGCTGTTTGACCATGTTGTTCGACAAATCTCTGTAACAAAATATAGTAAATTACTTATTAAATATGGGAAAACTATCCCTCCACGTTCATATGTCATTTTCTCTTTTTAAATAAAAAATATGATTGGGCAACAGGGTCAAATTTAATTCAGCTTTCATTATTTTTGTTTTATGTGCTGTGTGCATAGTTCAGAAAAGACAACCAGTTCAGTGAACACACACCCGTTCAATAACCACGCTAGTAGTTCAATGACCACACAAGTAGTTCAATGACCACAACAGTAGTTCACCGAGAATAGACTGCATGCAGCTGCGGGGGAAATAACCACAAATACATTAGTATTTTAGTATAAATGTGTAGCATTAACTAAGTGCTAAATACTCATTCAGCGATGACACAAAACCAAACTGAGAAATAGCTATGGCACAATGTTATTTACTTTTAGTGAGCTCCCTAAAGTAGACAGGAACATAGACTGAGGGCAATTTAAAAGTTAAACAGTCTGCTCAGAAGGTCTGTCATTCTCATCAGGGGCACAGTGAAAATAAATAAATAAATTATTATTTGGGGGTACCACATCCACAGAATGGTTCCTCGTCTACCTGAATCCTGGTCGAATTGGAATTTGGAAATGTTGGTTTTTGAGGAGAGGGGAAAACAGGAGAACCAACAACAAACTTAACCCACATACGGCGTCGCCGCCGGGATTTGAACCCGGGCCACATTAGTGGGAGGAGAGCGCTCTCACCACTGCGTCATCCCTTGCTTCCCAAAAAACAGACCTGGAAAGTTAAGACGGCCCAACAGAAAACGATATACTAAATAATCCGACAAAGCACGCGCTGAGAAAGTAGAAAAAATAACGGTTGACGGTCGAAGAAACCTTGTTTTTGACTCTTTTTCCACACGTTTCAAGCTGTGGTACCACAGCTGGCCCTACGTGCTTAACATGAATCCATGTTTAATAAATAGATAATCTTTACCGCACAAGTCCAGACTTTCCAACGTTTCGTTTTTTTTTTTCTGGCCGTGTTAACTTTCCTTTTCAGCGCTGACTCTCTTTCCAGGTCTGTTCACTGTGCCCGTGATGAGAATGACAGACCTTCTGAGCTGACTATTTAACTTTTAAATTGCCATCAGTCTATGTTCTTTAGTGAGTTCACTAGAACTAAATGACATTGTGCCATAGCTATTTCTCAGTTTGGTTTTTGTGTCATCACTAAATGAGTATTTACCACTTTGTACGTGGCTATTTCCCCGCAGCTGCATGCAGTCTATTCTCGGTGAACTACTGTTGTGGTCATTGAACTACTATAGCTTTGTTATTGAACTATCATGTGGTCACTGAACTGATTGTCTTTTCTGAACTATGCGCACAAAACACATAACACAAAAAAATAATAATAAAAATCTTGTTCTCGAATACCTATGCTTTCATCTAAGCGTGGACACTTGGCGAAAATCATGTTCTAATTGGGTGCACACATGACCTGGTTGGCGGTGTGAATACGTTTTGAAGTCTTCTTCGGAGAAATTGATCCTGAACTGTTGAGTTATGGTCCTGCTTTTCTTAAAAGGGGCTTCACATCAAGTGTAATGATAAAGATTTTCAAACCTTTAAAATGGGAATTACAGAAGGGGAATAGACGGCTTAACCTAAACATAGGGACTAAAATACGTAATCTTATAGTAAAATCTATCACTGCATGGTGAGGTTGATGGAAGTCCAGAAAAGTTGTGTTAATGCAAGAACAGATATTTCTTCGGCATTTCACAGAGGCGCATTCCACGAAAGCAAGCCATCATCCTCCAGAACCCACAACAACCAACTGAGCTATGAAAACCCATACTTTAGCAACAAGCCAATGTTTTGACTTCTTTTTTTGATCGGTGAGGGGAATGAAACATGCAATAAAGATAATGTGACCTGTAGAAATACAAGATATGATCGTCACAGTTGTAATAGCATACTAAGCAATTGTAAATTAACCCAAATAAATCTCAGGAACTGTAATGCGATTCCGCCACTGTTTTGATTGTGGTCTTGAATCCCGATCGAGTTTCTTCGTCAACATGAAATTTAACGGAAAATTAACGTTTGCCGTGGCAGGTGTGGGTGAATGTTATGTTTGAAGTTTTTGCTCGGCAATTGCAATTGCTACTCCTCTGTATTGCCATTGTTATTTAGGAAAAATTATGTATCCAAGCAATTAATCGTCAGAACCTGTACATAGGCAAAATGTCTACCGTCTGTGCATCCAAACAGCTACAAATACAAATGTGATTAACTTACAAAATCTGCAATGAAGAGAGGTCTGCGAAAATTCCATGCGGGATTTCCTCGATCATGCTGCTTGACAATTTCCTCAAGCAAATGAAAATTCGTAACCTACATTAATGTGTATATGTCTCCTTATTTTTGGTTTTGAAACAAAAAAAGGAGTTATTTTAACAAAAAAAAAACAGTGCGTCCTTTAAAATTTAAATTAAAATTACATCAAAATTGTCAATCTGTGTAAAACAATTCGGCGTGGTTGTTCCGATGGCTGTGACAGGTAGGTGTGACCATCAGCCCTTCACCGTGGTATATTGGCAACCATGGTGGAAAAAAAATTATTTACTAACTAGCAAAAGGTTAATAGCCAATGGTCACGCAGTGATGTTTTGTGGAATAAATTGAGAACATAAAGTCGAGATTCATTCTTTCAATCCTTATTGACGAATTGAGGTTATCTAACTGACTCGATCCCATAATGTAAATGTACCAGGTTCCACCAAATCCTAAACTATTTAAAATCACACTTTTTTCACCTACACTGCTAAAATTGGCGGTGTTGTTTGAATGGCTCACAACCTATTTTCTAGTGCAACATATAGCAAAAGATTTTGACCCCTTATGCATTAAGAAATAAGAAAAAAACCTAAGCCTCTGCATGGATATTTCTGACGAAATCGAAGTCGAAGACGAGCTTAGAGATGCAACTATCGCATTGCCATTTCAATCCCTTTTGACAACGTTAGTCTTTCAATGACGACAAAGAAGCTTGCCAAACATTGTGCTCCACGTTCAGAATTTTTGTTTTGTTTATTTTCTCGTTTTTGTCGTTGTTGTGGTTGCGTTGAGCTTGGTAGTAGTGCTACAATGTTAAACAATTCTTGATATGCGAAAGGAATTTCTGGCAGATATTCTATCAATTATATTGGATGGTTAATTCGAGACTTCAATAAACTTGGATAGACTAAAAACTTTAAAGAGAATCTGTGTGGAAACTTGCCTACCAAAAGCACGGCTTCGTAGTTTCAGGTCAGCGGTTTCACCTCCGAATGCCTACTGTAATATAGTATGTTTTGTGCTTCGACCTTCCTTCCTGTGTGTTCTGTTTTTCGGAGAACACTTTATACTGTTAAGGAAGTAGTGCATTGTTTTATACTGCCCTTAGCTACAACCAGACTGACCATGGTCAACCTCATTTTCATATCTTTATGGCTGTTCATGGCTACCCTTTGGTTGCATAATTGTCATACGACGGGTTTCCATAGTTGAGAACCATAATCATTCACATTCTGCGGATGTAGAATGACGGGGGCTTGAATTATTTGTTAAACTAGAAATACGTTATTGCAAAAATCTCGCGAAGCTGTAAATGGTCCGCAATGAGAATACGGGGAAAGAAGCCAAAGGGCAAAAATATGTCGGAAAAAAAAATAAACAGAAAAAAGGTATAAAGATAACGCAATAAATAAATAAATAACCACGTCGAGATTCGAGCCTACACTATGATTGCCTCCAGTGCGTGGAGTCAGCTCCCAAACCACTAAGCCTGCTGCCACTGGACAATTCTTACCGTACAATTAATATACCAACAGCATTTTTCTCTGCCATACACGCTATTTGAAGCTTGCTGAGTTGTATTTATCATGAATTCAAGGAGATATTGAGGAAAATTAGCTTAAGCAAGTATTTTAAAGCCATTTCGCTTTATTTCTGTGTTTATTCACTCTCAGCTTTAACGGCCGCTCGATATATTTACACGAGCTCGCCTTCTTCGTTGCTCATGCTGGATTTCAAGTCCCCGTTCTCGCTGCAGTGGAGTTTCGATGGTACATCTTCCCCAGCGAGGATTCCCAGCCACTTGTTAAATGGAACATTGTCTTGTGCTTGTCGTTCTCTTTCAGTTCTTTGAGAAATTGATCGCGATTCACCGATAGTAAATATTGTTTGACAGACGATGAATAAAGACATCAACCTTTCATGAACAAAACATTATGTTGCACCACAGAATTTGAAGTCGTGTTGAAAATGCACCTTGACTTCACACTGGATGCGGAGGCCCAAGAGATATCTAGAAATATTGCTAACTCGAGTTTCTGCGTCGCTGTGTGATCCACGAGATACAAGGCGCGACCAAATTATAGGCCGCTCGTTTCGCGAGGAATAATCATATAACCACAAAATTCTGTAATTCAAAATCAGGTTGAGGTCGTATAAACTGGTAGACTTACTTGAGGTAAAAAACCCTCATCGACCAAAGGTATACTTCTTTAAGGATGAAAGTAATAATGTCCGTTTTAGCTCAAAGGTATTTTTTTAATTTTAATTAATTGAAACCTCAGGAGGTTTTTTTTTTTCAAAGCTAAACGATTTTTAGGGCGTTTACTTTCAAACGTTTTTATTCTTTTCACGCGTGATTCACTGCCACAGTGCATTTTTATTAAAATCAGCAATTATAGATTCCTCGAGCTAGGAAATTCACTTACAAATTAGTAGTTGTTGTTGGTAGACACTTCCAAATATATGTAACATTGCCTCCACTGCAGTCATGATGGTTGATTACTTGCCCAGAACCATTCATAAAACCATTGCTTCGACATAAATGCCTGCAACCTGCAAAATCAATGCATCTTGTCTCAGGTAACAGATGACAAGTGAAAAGCGTTTGACACAACTACAAGGGTAGATTTCTAAACAAAATGTGTTCATGAAGTTACGCTACAAACTTGACAACTACTATATTGAATCGGTACGTTCAAAAGCAACCCAGTTTACTCGTTTGATCGGGAGGGACGCTGAATATGAGCAAAAAATATCACAGTTATCACAGGGTGGTACTGAAATATGGTTGGACATATTAACATGTTAACTTGAGACAGAAACCTTACCCATAACATTAACGTTAACAGTTTTGGAGCTATTTCCTGCATCATTTTTTGCCAGAATTGTATAGTTTCCCGTCTGATTAAATTTAAGTCCTTTTACCACTTGCCCACCCTCCAAAGGTGTAGATGAGTTGGCTAACCAAGGTTGAATGGGTGGGGTGCCTTCCACCATGAACCAGGTATAGTGCTCTGGTACACTGCGTACTGCTGACAACGGAATCCTTATCTCCGGCTTATCTGTAAATTGAAATAACCAATGCTTGTCTTAAACGGCGAGGAAAATTATGCTTTTCGGTCTCCGTAATAATTATTTCTCAAAGGGAAAACGTAATGAGTTTGCCCATGTTCCTTGCTAATTATTTATAACACAACAAATGCCTCCAAAAATCGGTTATTTGTTTTATAGCTCAGAGGATCTGGAGGTCCGGGCTTCAAGCCTCGTCCCTCGCATTGTTTCCTTAAACAAGGAACTTTACTCCACTTTGTCTCTCTTCACCCAGGTGTATAAATGGGTACAAGCGACATACTGCTGGGGGTAATCCTGCGATGGACTAGCAGCGCGTCCAGGCTGTGCATTTTGAACCTCGATATTAGTATGGGACCCCTTTTCCGCCACTAGGAAAAGCCTGCTCTATTTCGACGTTATCAAAACATCGACGGATATCAAACACAAAAGTGATTTAACACAAATCGTAGCGTTTAGTAGTCTTATAGATGAGAATCATAATTCAGTATTTTTACCTTCCAAACATTGTTTACAGCTCCGATAATAGGCTAATGCATTTGGTGCTGCCAAAGCTAAAATGAAAGCTAATGATGAATTATGCGTTGCCCTCATGCAGCAAAAAGAATAATTGGCCAATGCTTGGAGCATGGACAGCAAACAGTCAACAATCGAAAATCATTTTTGAAATATGTCTCTCGCTTCCAGTCTGAGAGAAAAGTGGCGCATTGGAAGCTCTTATCTTAGGATGTGACGCCATTGCGGCTTAGAGAATGTTATCTTGCACGCATTTGACACTCACTCGGCGGGGCATGGACGAGCTTCTGACAGGAAAACCGAATGTACTCAAAAGTCATCTCCCGCGGTTGTGATGTTAGGTTTAAATGAAATTAAGAAAATCAAGAGACAAAGTTCAGCTTAAAACCTTTAATTACACTTGAACTTTTACACTATAAAAATCACTTTACCATGAAGGGTAGTTCACCAGGGCCTTTTGCATGGTAGTAGTCTCTCTCTTTTTCCCCCTCCTCTCGATCTCCCGCCCTCAGTCGCACGCGTGCCCATTTTCTGCTCTCGCGCGTTTTGCTCGACAGACTAATACTGAGAGGCTTGTCGTATTCTAGGCCTCGATGACCGAAACTATAAGTTAATCATACCCGAATGTCGACAATTCGATAATTCAATAATCTCGAAAAATAGAAGGATCGTTTCTTGATAAGTATTATAAGCTTCGCACTAATTTTTGTGCACTTAATCAGGTTCAGGGGAGGGGAGGTGTCTCGAAGGACCTCGGTGGTTCAGTCCTCGTACCATTGTGACGTCACGTCTCGCAGGTCAGTGACATTCAAAATGGTGAGCATGGTGCTCGTCGAAGAGACGGATAAAAGTTTAGAATTTCTCACGGAAATTCTGTTTAGATTTCTTGGATTCGGCGGTGTTAACTGAAGATCCCTATTGTCATAGAAAACCAGACTTTGGTACTTTTTTGGAATGAAACGTCTAGTGGTGTAATGGATTTTAAAGATTCCTTTCTATCGTCCAGCAAATTTTCCTAGCATTGATATCGACCGGTCACACTTTTAAGGGCCGGTGTGCAGCAACATTTAGAAAAAGCAATAAAAGTTTCATCAAAAGATATAATAGGCTTTAAGTGTGCGTATTTTTAGATCTTCTGAGCTAATGGATCCCCATATAAATCCCCTCAAACTTATCTATTACCATACACAATTTTTACAATAAGGAATCAACCACATCACACCGTTTTTTTTTAAGGAACTACCAAATAACTTTAAAAAATGCCTGCAAGCTCATACACTTTACGATATATAGCGATATTTGCCTAGCTTTCTACCTTTTACACGACCCCTCTTGTGGTGTCCATTGCTAATTTGCACAAATGACCCGAAGCTCTTTTTAATGCTTGATTTAGCTGTCAAAGCCTTCTACGTAAAAAGACAATATTCAAGGTTTCCTTTTCTGCTTTTGGTGAGCAAAGTTTTGGATGTCCGTTATCGACGATCTAATTCCTGTTTTTTTATGGCGGTAAAGACATTATTACAGAACAGTGATGAAATTTTCAAGACACCATAAATAGATAAGGTATTTCTGTACGAAATGTAAGGAGTTATTTGTTTTACCACAATGCCCTCTAACAAGGTCACGCAGGAGACATTCTTCATTAATTTTACTTAATAGAAGAAAAGGCTTTATTATTTGGAGTTTTTGGTGATTATAAATAAATATCATATAGTTTAACTATTCTAACGAAAGAGGTCTTTTCACAATTCAAACCCTGGAAATTTTCTTCGAAAAATTTTTAAAAATTGTTTCCTGGGTACATATAGCTCACCTTTTATTGAGGTTGAAGAGCAAACTCCCTTGAAGTTAAACAATGCTAGTTCATGATACCTTTTAAAGGTTAACATCATGAATTGGCCACTTGTTTGTACGATGAACGGGCGTCTTGATCCACTAAAAATACCAAGCAACGTATCATTTTTCCTTTTTCCATCAAAGACTTTAATCTCGCTCCTGTAGATCCGTGGATATAAATCGAGGAGGTTGAATATCGCAAATTTTAATTTGACTGTGTGGTTAGATGGTGCTGTAATGATCCACGTGCAATCGTACATGGAGTAGTTTTTGTGTGCACTGGAGCTGATGACCCCATTGGAGCTACCCACATCGTAGAAGCATGGATTGGCGTGCACATCTGAAAATGAGTAAAAAAAGAGAGATTATGTTTATCATTCGAAATAGTTATTTAACAAAACCGTCAATTTGGAACTGTCAATATTAAGAGGATAAACTGCATTGAGGTTACCCTTAAAAAGAAATTTTTACAAAAAACAATCTCTTAGAATATAAAAAGAGGGTAAAACATTTTTTTGGCAACGAGGATCGCTCATGCACAGAACTGGTTGCCATTCCCGTCCTGGAAACTTTTCAGTAGGGTCTTTGAAAGAAGATTAGGCTGGAAGAACATTTGAATCACATGACGTCACGTCGGCCACACTGGTATACCAAGGATCCCTAATGTAATGGCATTTGTAATGGAGAGTGGAGTCACAAATATAACAATGGTCGGAAATATTATAGGCTAGGAAGAAAGGTTAGAGTTGGTCAAAAGCGTGCTTAGGGTTTCAATTTAGGGGATGGATAAAAAGCGAATTGTACGTAGGATGACATTATGGGTCTGCAAGTGAAGAGGTGAATATCCTAAGGAAATACCCCTTAGACGATTCTTGAGTAGGATACAGTACTGTGCAAAATAAATCAGAGTGAACTTATTTCGGCGAATAAATTGCCAGTGGCGGATCCAGGGGAGGGGCCCGGGGGGGCCGGGCCCCCCCTTATTTTTCGACCAAAAAAAACTTTTTTGGAGACCGCCCCCCCCCCCGCCCCTTATCTCAGGGTCTGGATGACCGCTCCCGCCCCCCACCTTATCTGTAGGTGTGGATCCGCCATTAATTGCATACTTTCCTTTTAAACGAAAACAGGACGAAATTTCCGTTTATCTATTGCTCTAAACTCGGTGAAACTTTGCAAACTAGGTGATGAATCAAAAATAATGGAAAATGGTACTATAAGGACCATACACTTTTCTCTTTTTATAGTTAAAAAATTTTTGTCAAATTGTATTTAATAAAATTTAAAAGTCTGGATACAGATCGCTTTACCTAATTTCCTCAGGATTTACTAGAGAGAGATTCCATGAGCCGTCCATAATATAAGTAATCATAAATTTTGCAGAAAGATGAATAAAAAATGTTGTTGTTGTTATCGTTGTTTATTGGTTTAAATTTTATTTTCCTTTTTTGGGTGAATTAGTAGTATCCGAATTCGAACCCTTGAATAACAGCTACAACCCCGGACAAAACTGTTGAGACAATTCCATCTATTTTCTAACTTTTGCGCTCCAATCCCGTCTCCTCTAAACAGAAAAAGTTAGCCCCTCCCCACCCTCTATTCAAAGTTGTCTTGGTCTAAAAACCAACGTGTATAATTGCCATGTTATCCTAAACAACTTTGGATAAGGGAAGGGGCGACATCGGGCATTCATTTGGGGGAGGTTTCAGTTTTTGCCAGGATGATAGGAACAAATAGGCATTTTCGCGATTTCTCTCAACAGGTTTTTTCCGGGGTTGTCTGCAGACTGTTTTCGGTATTCTTTTAACTTTCATATCAATTACCCCAAGAAGTGATAGTCCTCTTTTTTGGTCAAATTGACAAAAGCCCTTGTCCCTGCATACTTTGTCTTTCTTTTGAACGTGAAATAAAGCTTTTACTGTAAAATTGATGTTTACTCTGTGACGTTACCATGGGCATGATTTTCAACAGCTTGCGTGTCCGTAGACTCTTTGCCTACTCAAATGATGACATTTATACGTAATCGCCAAACAAAGTGGATCTCTCGAGAACTTCCGATAGTGACGAATCATTTTCAGGGGGGCATTCATTTGGCGGAGGTTTCAGTTTTTGACAGGATGACAGGAAAAAATAGGCATTTTCGCAATGTGTCTCGGCAGGTTTTGTCTGGGATTGCAGATCCCTCCACCCCACTCGCTTCAACGCCCTATGTCGCCCTGCCTACACTAAAACTGAAAATTGCGGAATTTGATGATTAATAGCAATTTCAAACTTTTTCTAACTTGCCTGAGAAGGCCCCCTGGTGAAAGCTTATTTTTACTTTAAAGAAACCTGCAATCTGAACTGTATTGATGTCGTCGATGTTTAGACTACCCCTTGTTGGGGTTGTAAAACTAATTATAATATTGACCCACCCCTTATAACATTTGCTAACATTGTCATATTTGTGACCAATTTCTTACATGTAGCACAAAAGTAATCGCTTATTACGTTTATGACCTATCCCCATAGAATTTGTAAACCTTAATACATTATTTTGACCCTTATTTCATCAGGTACCAGTTCCTTATTACTTTAATTTTGGACCCTTATATTTGGCACCAGTTATAACATTAATGCGACCTCAACTTAACAGCCAAAACAGGGTACAGTTTAAGTGCCACGCGCAGCAGTCCGTCTCAATGTAGGAAGATGACAGAAATTACTGTGTATGTCGTAAGGAAAAATTCACTTGCCTTTCCACATTGCGATGAAAACGACTGCAAACAATATTTTTTTCATTCTTAACATTTCCAACCTCTTTCCTTTTCCACTCTGAAAAGGCCAAAATCTGAAAAAAAAAAAAAAAAGACAGTAAAAGTCAATCAAAAGGGAGACATTATAGCGGGACTCTCGCTCTCAGACTTGGCAAAGAGTCTTAAGGCTCATTCATGAATGATACACTTCTTTTGTTTTATTCCCTCAAGCCTCGGAACCAAGTGTGAATTTTAATATATCGAAATTGGTTTACTTAGGTATCCATACACATCAGAGAAATTTTGTTAGTCACGTGACCGTAGGTATGCCTGCCCGTCCGTCAGTAAGAGGGCACCACAGGCTAACCAATGTGGCATTTTGTGGTTCATGTGGGAGCTTGCAAGCTGTGTTTAATTTGATGATAGACATCCACGTTTGGTTAACTGACAAAAAAAAGGGTATCCACTGACCAGTATTGCATGACCTTATCGAAGATTCAGGTTTCAACTCGAGGTCAAGTATTTTATTATTATTTTCCGCTGACCAGTTATTTTCTTTTAATTGATCGCAGGCTCAAATTCAATGTTCTTAGCAGCAATTGTTTCTCGTCTATTGAGCGCCTCTCTAAAACGTCATATGGTCTTCCCCTAATTTAAGGTAAGTGTAGATTTGCGGATTTCTTTAGCAATAGTTTCAATTTCACGGGGGCTTTGCCTTTGGTTCTGGCTAAAGCTATACATTAAACATAGATTAACTTAAGGCATAACATAGTAGAACACATCTGAACGGTCTGAAGAAGGGTAAAAAATCTCCTACAACACTAACAATTTTTAATTAATACTTTTTCTGTAAGAATACGAATTTGAAGGATTGTAGTCTCATTCGCTGTTCCCCTTTTCAAGAACCGATTTTTACGTACAAAAAGCCTTGTTCGCCACACAAATGACAATGATATTATTTCATATGCTTAGATTCATTTGGAGCAGTAAACTATTAAATTCATAACCTTACAAAGTAAAATGTTGTCATCCTATGCGGACATATTTTTTTACAAGCTCGGCCATGATACTTTTCTCTTTTAGACAGGAATCATGATTGGCTTCAATACCCCGGCTAATTCTCAATAGCCAATCCCTTTTTCTGTTGATTGAAGCTTATTTATAAATATTCGTCAACCAAAACGGCTGTCGTGAAAACTTGTAGTTTCTTCGAGAATATTTCTTACCGGTTCGGTAAATATTAAGTCCTTTACTTTACATTTTCGGCAGGTTCGAAACGCTTAGCAAATTTCTAGAGTTAAAGCACGAACCTCTAGCATAGAAACCACACAAACACGAAACTTTTTATGACCTTGCAGTTAAATTGCAAAATAAGACGATTCGGAACTGAAATATTTAAAGGGGGTCTCCATCAGCCGCTTTCTTCAACTTCCGTTTGTTTGTTTTAAGAATGTTCTATGAGTCAGGACTCACCTAATTGATTTATCCGTGAAAAAGAAAATAAATGAGACACACAAGTTCAGTGGAGTAAAGCTGTCTCTTTATGGACACTACAGGGACATATCCAGGTGTCCACATTAGAGAGTTTCACGTATTATGGAGATTGGAATTGCGGTAAGAAATTTGATATCTTTGCATGGAAAGAACTGTCCATAAAAAGATATGTCTAAATGAGAATTTATAAATGTATTTCTATCAAAAAATCTAGTAAAAAAATCGCGATTTCCTGACAAAAGGTAAACCAACATGGAATCCTCCTGCCAGCAAACGAGTATTTTGGGGGGGGGGTAAAGATGCTCAAAATGCGATCAATTTATTCCGTTATCCTTAAGTTAAAACCTACCAATAAATAAAAGTCAGTACTATGGTGGAAAAATACATAGTTATTATGTCTAAAGATGTTTTGCCAATAGTTCGTTTAATATAAACCGGTTTCTTTTATACTCAGCAAATTCGTAAAAGGTAAAGAACCAGAAAACCTTAAATTCTTTAAAACGGAAGCCTTTTTAGACCTCGTAATTTAACTCTCAAATAGAAATTTCTGTTCCATCTAGAGATATCAAAGGGATCTCTAGCCATCTTAAACATTTGTATTTTTATTTTATTTTTTAACTGTGCCTTGATATTTGTTTTCATCTACTGAACTTCCGCTGTTCGATCAACAGTCAATTTTAAACAACACGGTTCACACACAAGGCGCAGAATTTTTCACGAAGTATGAATGCTATCGAGTACAAACATCTTTTTAAAGAAAAATACACTATTTAAAAGACAGACTGATCAACTAAAATGGAAATTATTTTACTGTTATGTTATGAGAATCGAATTGGCACGAGGAGGAAATGAATTCTACTTTGCTTCTCTTATACACTTTGAATTACTTTTTTAAAAGTATCTTAAAGATAAAAGTAATTTATCCATGACTTTTTTGCTTGGTGAAGGTATTTAAACTGACAAAATTGTTGATATCAAGTAACTAACCTTGTACAAAGCCTGATTATAGCATTGCTTGCAGGAGGAACTTTCATGACCAAAATCCAAGTTTAAACACCTGCAGGCAAACCCTAAAATTGAGCTCAAATGTCTCTGACTATACAATAAAGATTAAATAAGCTCGACGAAAGTTGTTT